ACCATCTCACGATTGTATGTGTGTGGAGTGATGCTATGTGAGTCAGTCTATGTGAGTCAGTCTATGTGAGTCAGTCCGTTTATCAGACTTCCGCTGCATACATGCTCATCCTATATTGGTTGATCTTTGGTTCTGCCCATACTCATCGAAGTATGCAACAGATGCCCTGGTCAAGAAAAGGCCGAGTTCGTCAAACTCAGAAAAGTCACAGTCGGGTACCTCAGCAGTCTGGTTCAACAGGCACCCAGCAAACAGTCACATCTCAGGGACAAGAGTCACGTCTCATGATAAAAAGCCACTTTGAAGAGTCACATCCCACGAGTGAAAAGGCAGATTCACAAGCAAGAGTCATGTCTCAAAGGCAGGAGTCACGTCTCATAATGAAAAGTCATACTGAAGAGTCACATCCCATGAGTAAAAGGGTAGTTCCACAGGCAAAAGTCGTGTTCCAGAGGCAGGAGTCACAGTCCACAGTCAAAAGTCATGTTCACAAGTGAAAAGTCATGACTCAAAGGCCCAAGCAGCAGCAGACCAAAGGAAATTCGGGAAGGTTCCAGGCCTTGACATTCAGAAGCAGACAGGCCGTGGGAATGTGGTACCGGAACCAGCCAGATCCCAGAAAGCAGAGGCTGGCACGAGTTGAATAGCATTCCAAGACTACAAAAGGACTGGCCAGCCCACCATTCAGGGAGATGGATCATTCGCAAGAAGTGTGGAAGTGCTGGTGCACTTGTGCGCTGATGTGAGGGGCAGAGCGCTGAAGCCAGAGTGCTGCGCTATAAGTGAGAGAGAGGAAGAAGACAGTGCTGGCAGGGAGAAGGCAGCCATAGCTGCGCCAGCGCAGGGTGTTATTGTTAGCAGTTAGTAGTAGACTTCAGAGGGATTAGTAGAGTTGACAGTGGGTGTATTCAGAGTAGATCTTTGAATGGAAGTTAGTGTGTGTGTGCATGCATGTAGGGAGAAAAGATACAGCGAGGTCATAGCTAGAGAGAAGACCAGCACGGAGGGGTGATACAGTAGAGAGAGAAGAGCAGAGAGGAAGAAGATACTTACCTGGGTGATTATGTTGGATGTTTGGTTACCTATGACATGCGCTGTTGTGCGCCGGTGACTCAGAACTCTTATTGCTCTTGATATAACTTGTTGGAATTCATAAGCTGCGCTATCTGGTCTTAAACTCTCTGATCTCCAGTGTGGACTTCGTGTGAACTCATACATGCATATGGTGTGAATATGTGCACTCATTGGTGTTGAGCTGGGAGGTTCATTGCACTTTGGTCAAGCAGGCCGTAAAATCATCTTCATGACTACTGATTAATGTTAGAGGATCCATCCATCACCATAGCACAAACTGCGTGCCAATGACACTGATGTGTTGGCAAACTCCTGCACACTGCATGTTGTCTACTGGTATCCCAAACTGGTACTAATGACAAGATCATCAGCAAATTCACATATTGCCAATGTTTGTAACTGCATATCCTGCGGCACAATCCTTAAGTTGCTCTGGCGCTGTTTCTCATCAACCACGCCGCCCGTCCCACATCAGGCTTAGCCCCAAAAGTGAAGATGCCCCAGGGAGGGCAAACTGTGCTCACCCGGCATCCAGCTGCCACCAAGCATCCACAGACAAGCATGTCCAGCATTGGTCTGCCCACCTGTGAAGGGAGCTAATGCATGTGAGTGTCTGCCATTCAGTAACACACCATTACCACTCTTGTGTAGATGTGAACGCTTGGTTCTCATGTTGGGATGACCTATCCAGTCAACTTTGGTGTGCGATGCTGCCTTGGATTCATCTCACATTTCTCCAAACTTCTTCTCTGTTGTTTAATCCTTCCCCACTTGAGCACACGGTTACGCTATACCCTCTCATGCATCCTACCATGTCATTTTACCAGAGATTTGATGATTTGAGGGGTATAACATCATTTGTGAGGAACAAGCCCTCAAGGGGCCCTATCAGACATCACATTGTTCTGGGCTAAGGCCCCCAGCAGGCCAAGTGCCCGCCCGAAGTGAAGGCGGGCCTGAATATTCGTCAAAGGCAAAATTCGACATTTCAATATGTGGGTATTCAGACTCTCGCAGCACGCCTGTTGGCTGGGAAGACGCGTGAGCCTCACATTGCTGCGTCATACAGTTGGCCCAGGCCTTGACAGTTGCGCCTGGGCACACATACACAAAGCAGGGCCGGTACATTGGGAAGCAGGCCTTCGACCTTTGCAAAAGCAGTACTGCCAACACACCTGCCTGGGAGCCCTGCACAAGTCAGGAGACTCAGGCCGTGCCTAACTGCAAAAGGTCCAGACCCTCAACTGTAGTCTCGGGCCTGGGCTCAGGGTCTGGGACCCAACCGGAAGCTACTGGAAGCTTCCAGCCAGGTCACACGCAGCATCCAGGGGGCTGCCACTTCCACAAAAGGAATGAGGCAGCCCAGGCCAGGCATTCTGGCCAGCGCTGGCAATGCGGAAGTGCTGCTGCGCTCTCGCTTGATGCTGCGCTGCTGCCAAGGGCGCTGACGGGGCGCGAGAGGTGTAGTGGGGCGCTGCAGGGCAGCAGGGCACAGGCAGCCATAGCCGGGCTGCTGGGCGCCAGGGGGTACAGCGGATGATCAGGTGGTCTTCAGGGAAGGAGGCGCTGTGTGGGGTAATCAAGGTTTGATTGAGGGTGACGAGATACGTACCTGGTACATGAAGAGAGGTCGGCGATGGTGTTGGCAGTCATGTACATTGGTCTTCGTGAGTCGAAGTGATCCTGTTGCGTGAACCAGCTGTAGGTAGGATAGTCTGGTAGAGTAGGCTGGGCGCTGAGTGCCAGACAGAGCAGAGCGACTTTGGATACTGTGTTGATGCGGCCTACGGGCATGAACATTGGCTCATTACTTCATTGTATACTCTATATGGATGGTTTTCTCGGTGCATTTGTACTCTCTGCTTGGGACACAACTACCGGGACAGCTGTGTGATTTCGCAAATTGGTTTTATCTATATCGCTCACACTCATATTCCTTGCAATTTGGTATCGGAGCTGGTTGGTGATCGCCGCTTAACTGGCACCGGCGACATTGTGACTTGGTGTGCTGACGATGCTTCATGCGCAGTAAGGATACTTTGGCGCTGATTGATTAGCGGGGCCTAGAGGCCGGCCGCTGGAAGGCTGTGGCGACAGCAGATGATGAGGGTATGTTGACGTGGCATTTTGGCTGAGGTGGCACTGCATTGCGTTGTGGGTGGTACCGAGGTTAATGACCGGTCATTGAAATGCACGTCCGCCCAATTGGTGAGAAATTTGTGGTTGAGGGCAGCTATCTCCAGTTACGTTGTTCCCATTCCTTATCTACCCGCTCAATCTCTTCTTACCGTGAGGAAGTGAGTCCAACTTGAGTCGTGTGCGCTTTATCTTGAGAGACGACATTCTTCCCGGTGGAGCATCTGGCAGGAGAGGGCGGTGCCTCTGAAGGGCCCTGGTCGAAGCACGGGTCACGGTCACCATGCCAACCCATGGGTATTAGTACACGCAGGCCATGCTGCTTGGTCCATTGAGGCTCTTTGCTGCGCTGATAGAAGGGGTGTGCGGACTGGCCAGTCCTACGTAGACGCTCCCAGACCGTCTATAAACATTTCTGGTTGGGGTATGAACTGTCCACTAGCTGTGATCGTCGTCCTGATTGCGACGTTAAAGAATCCTTGAGGACTCTCGGGGGTTGTCCTTAAATTGCCTCTTGATCAGCCAAATCAGTCAGACGTAAGGCTCGTTGCACGCGAGGGCAGGCTGGTCATAAGCATACTTCTTGGGCACAGGGGTGGGCCGTGGTTGCACACCTTAGACACCGCAGCTTTATGATGCTCATAGGTACGTTGGATACAGGGGAAGGGGATTCCAATTGTGAACTCAACTGTTAATCACTATATTATCCATTGTGCATACATCTGCTCAGTGTAGTTTATTTTTATCTTGATTAGTTGGTTGACAGACTGCTAACACCTAACAGATAGCCTAGAGTAGGACTGTAATCTACCATAGTCAGTTCTCCTTGAAGCTTTTGTGCAGAACTAATCAAAGATAAGAGGTAGACTACATGTATACAGTTTGTGTAGGTGTTGTTGATGCCGCTTGACTAGCGGTCTAGGGTAAATCGCCGGCCTATCATTTTATTTATTTTTAGAACCGGTTAGACGCATGCTGCGGTAGGTCCCAAAGAGGACATTAGTGCAGACAACATCTGCCTAGCCCATGAGCGAATTAGACGGTGGGGAGGATAGATCTGACGATAGGAGGCAGACACGACGGGACACCCGTAGGATACCCGTTGTGTTCCAGGTTCTACTACCAGGAGATGAGAGAAGGCTTAGGGCCGAGACAAGGGCCCGCAATCTAGAGACTGCGAGAGAGGCAGCAGCAGCGGCTGAACGCGTGTTAGCAGCAGCAGCAGCTAGCGCAGTAGCAATAGCTACCTCTTCAGCCACTTCTGCTGTAAACTCTACTGGTCATGCGACCAGTTCACAGTCCATCTCCAGTACGTCAGGAGCTGGCACTAGTCAGATGGCGGGTTCGCAGTTCAGCTCGCCACCTCCACGCACCCGGGAGCAGATGGAGCTCCAGCAGGTAGAGAGGATTCGCTTGAGGCTAGAGGAGGAACTCAGGCAGGCTACTAAAAGAGAGAAAGAGATTAGAGACAAAAGTGTCAGACTAGAGGGTAGGGAGGCAGACAAGGCTGCACTAGAGGGGTTAGATGACTTGACCCTTAGCAATAATGAAAAGATTCTTAAGGCGAGCATCCTGTCCATGCATGCATACATGGACAGTAAACTGGATACCATCTAGGACACCTTGGACCAGATCCTGAACGCCATGCACAGGCCAAGGATCAGGCCAGCAGTCTTGCCATCGCTACCATTCTCAGCGACGACAGGCCCCTATGCCGCTCAGTCCGGACCACCACCAAGTGGTACATCAGCAACAACCCTATCTCAGACTGTTGCTTCTTTGTCTTCCAGTCCAGCGACTGGTGCTACACCACAGTCGCCACCTGTCTCGCCAGCGGGACAGCAATTTCTTTGGTATCCCAAGACCCCCTTGAAACCACCTCCAACCTTATCAGGAGACAAGAAGGACGAGGCTCTCGACACGTGGTTGAGAATGGTGCCAGTGTGGGTGAGGGCAAAGAGGACATTGGTAGAGGAGGAAGTGATTACTGCTGCATCCTACTTAGAGGGTTCATCAGCTCGTTGGCTAAATGGATTGGTAGCTTCAAAGGGGTTCGGCAGGAACATGGGTGATTGGGCGCAGACCCACACCCTAGAAAGCTTTATGGACTTAGTGGAAGCACGGTGGCACAATCCTCAACAGGCACAGATTGCCATTGATGGATTATTAAAGCTTGATGCTAGAAAGTACAAGTCAGTGCGAGAGCTTACCACAACCGTAGAGCGCCTGATCGTTGTCTCAGGAGTGGAGTACAATCCACACGCCTTGTTGACCACGTTCTTGATATGTCTTCCCAGAGACATCAAGAACTTATTGGCCAGTGAGGCTCGTAGAGAGTATTGGAGAAAGAAGACGACTCCACAAGAATGGAAGAAGAAGGGTAGTTGATTGATGATGGTTGATTCTAAAGGGAATCAAACTCAAATCGATGATGTTTCTGAACTTGTGGAGGGTGCAGAGTTAGACCGCGAGGAGAGTGTTGAGGGTAGCAACCTCGCCGCAGTAGTTAAGACTAAGGCAGCAGGTCGCGGTAAGGGCGGTCAACAAAGGAGTCAGGTGCAGGCCGCTTAACCAAACAAGATAGCTGCTTGGGTTAGAGAAGGCTTGGATCAGGAAGTGTGGCGAGATCGTTGGTAGCGAGGTTCTTGCATAAACTGTGGCGAGTACGACCATATGCAGTTTAAATGCAAGAACCCGAAGGTCGCGCAGAAGATCCCTCCTAAGGGTGGTTTTCCTTCTTCTCAATCGGGAAACACTTAGGGGCGGTAGAAGATGAAGTTGCTTCTGCTCTTGTTGAAGCGAGTGATGTACCCTTCCCGTTTCAAGAGTTGGTCGAAGCTATTGACTCCTTAGTCACCCCACAGACGCATCCGGACCCAACTATACTCTGTACGTTGGATGTGTCTGAAGCCTTGGAGGACCTTCAAGGTGAGTGGTCGGCAAGGGACCCTCGTGAGTCCTGGGTGGCATTGAGTAGAGGTCCTAGAGGGGAGCACTTTGTTATGGAAGTTGGTGTGGGTGGTTGCAAGTGCGGCACCTTCGTAGACATTGGCTCCACCGAAACTTCATAAGTCGCGACTGCGTTAACAGATTGTGCCTAAAGGACCGGGTGCAGCGCCTTAGTAGACCGGTAGCATCTACTTTGGCCAACAAAGAGCGCATGATGGTGGAGGACTACATTAAAGATGTAATCTGCAGCTTCTCCTACCCAGGAGGAAAGAGAAACCATAAAATATCATTCCTGGTGAGCGACGAGTTGCCCTTTGACATGTTATTGGGCATGTGCTACCTCGAGGTTGCCAAGCCCCAGTTCGATTGGGACAAGAAAGTGTTGAAGCACGAGCTGCCTAATGGGAGGACCGTTAGACTGGCCAAATATAAAGCCAGTAGGTTAATAGACTCCTATGGGTGCTTATGCACATCTGCCTTCTATAACTTCTATAAATAGACCCAAGAGGAAGGAATGTACTTAGTCTATGTCTCTGCAAAAGGGGAGGCCGTTAAAACACCCCCAGAGATAGAGACTATCATCGCAAAGTACCCTGATCTGTTTGAGGATCCCTTAGGAGTCGTAGACAGGGAGGTTGTCGATGCCATAGAGATCATCCCAGGTAGCAAGACACCTAAAGGAAGAATCTATAAAATGGCTCCGACCGAGTTGGACGAGCTTCGTTGACAACTGAAAGAGCTCACAGAAAAGGGTTGGATACGGCCTAGCACTTCCCCCTTTGGCTCACCAGTCTTGTTTGTTCCAAAGAAAGGGGGAACACTAAGGATGTGCATTGATTATAGAGGCCTCAATGCCATCACCGTTAAGAACGCAGAGCCTCTACCACGCATCGACGACCTATTGGATAGGGTGCAGGGATGTAAGTACTATACAAAGATAGACTTAAAATCCGGCTACCATCAGATTGCCATAAGACCAGACGACCAACACAAAATCGCATTTCAGACGAGGTACGGTCTGTACGAGTTTGTAGTGATGCCCTTTGGCCTTTGGAATGCACCGGGTACATTCCATCACATCACGAATAGGATCTTCCATGACTTCTTAGATAAGTTCGTTGTCGTGTATCTCGACGATATATTTATCTTTAGTAGAACTGTCGAGGAGCATGCTCAACATGTAGACAAAGTACTTTGACTCCTCCGACAGCACAAGTATAAGATAAACGCAGAGAAATGCGAGGTCGGTCGCACTCGAATCTTGTACTTGGGTCATGAAGTATCCGCGGACAGAATTAGGCCCGAAGATGCGAAGGTGGCTAGCATTAGGGACTGGCCACGACCCAAGTCTGTGACTGAGGTCAGATCATTCTTGGGAATGTGTGGTTATTACCACAACTTCGTAAAGAACTATAGTACGATCGCATCTCCCTTGACCGATCTAACTCAACTTGACACACCATGGGACTGGACCGACGAGTGTGAGGCAGCTTTCAAGCGTTTGAAGCATGCTCTCATGCACCATGAGGTTCTCATGGTACCCAACCCGCAAAGGCCATTTGTTGTAACCTCTGACGCAAGCCAATATGGCATTGGCGCAGTGCTAGCTCAACAGGAAGGGAAAAAGTTGAGACCGGTCGAGTACATGAGCAAAAAGATGCCATCAAAGAAGTTGGCAAAGTCCACCTACGAGAGGGAACTCTACGCTCTCTGCAAGGCACTTGTCCACTGGAAGCACTATTTGTTAGGAAGGTTCTTCTATTTGAGAACTGACCATCAGACCCTCAAGTGGATCAAGACACAACCGGTTCTCTCCGCTGCACTCAAATGCTGGATTGAAGTCATAAATCAGTATGACTTCAAACTAGACTATGTGAAGGGAGAGTACAACAAGGTTGCAGATGCGTTGTCTAGAAGGGCAGATTACCTGGGTGCGCCGATTTATGAGTTTGGCCTATCTGAGGACGTGACTCGATCTATGGTGCGCCGATTTATGAGTTTGGCCTATCTGAGGACGTGACTCGATCTATGGAGGAAGCCTACAAGGAAGATCCCATCACGATGGACATCATCAACAAACTTCAGGCTAAAGACAAGGCCACCATTGATGAGTTCGTGATGATGGATGGGTTGCTCTTTCTTGAGAAGGCAGGGTTTAAGAGAATAGTTGTTCCATCTAGGGAAGATTTGCGTAGTTTGTTCTTAGGAGAATGCGACGACTCAATAGGACATTTCGACTATAAGAAGACTAGTGCTAACTTAGTGCAACGATTTTGGTGGCCTAACATGTTGGACGATGCAAAGAAGTACGTACAGACCTGTCAGGTCTGTCAGCGGGACAAGCCGCGGACTCAAGCTCCGCTTGGGTTACTCAAGCCTCTACCCATTCCTGCTGGCCCAGGGCAGAGTATCTCCATGGACTTCATGGACACTCTCGTGACCAGCAAGAATGACAAGAGGCACATCTTCGTCATAGTGGATAGGTTCACTAAGTACGCTAGACTAATCGCTATGCCAGAGACTGCCAGGACTGAGCACGTCAACAAGTTGTTCATGGGCAGCTGCGTGCGTGACTTTGGACTTCGAAAAACGATCGTCAGTGACAGAGATGTACGTTTCACAAGCGAGATGTGGAAGAAGGCCGCTGAACAGATGGGCAGCCATCTTCAGATGACTTCTTGGAATCATCCCGAAGCAAATGGGCAGGCTGAACAGATGAACCGAGTGGTGCAGCATCTGCTGAGGCATTACATCAAGCCCAACCAGGATGACTGGGATGAGAAATTACCTCTCATCGCCAGCGTGTACAACAATGTTGTACACAGCACCACCGACGTCAGTCCTAATCAACTGCATCTGGGGTGGAAGCCTAGATCTGCTCTAGACTTCCTCCTGCCTGAAAACCGACCTGTTGCAACTCCTGGAACCATCAAATTTGGTGTCCAGTATGAGAAATTGTTGCAGCAGACTGTTGAACATATCAAGAAATCTCAGGAAGCTATGATTGTTTCTGAGAACAAACGTCGCCGACAGTCCACATTTCAGGTAGGGGAACGTGTCTGGGTCAACAGGAGTTTGGCATCTCTAGGAAACTAATGCGTCAGTATTTCGGTCCCTGGGAAGTCTTAGACATAGTGGGGAGTGATTTGGATGGTCCCTCGTACGTCATTCGTATCCCTGGTCACGTACGCACTTACCCTGTTTTCCACGCCTCCAAGCTTGCACCTTTCGCTGAGACAGCACAGTTCCCATCACGGAGATCTATGCTGCCCCCAACCATGGATGGCCACGTGGACGTCGACGACATCCTGGATCACAGAGGCACGCCTGTTCCCAAGCCACCTGGCAGGGGAAGACCTCCCAAACCTGCGAGGGAATATAGAGTACATTTCAGGCATCATACAGATCCGAAGGAAGATCGATGGATTTCAAGGGAGGAACTTGTCAAGACAGATCCTCAGATCGTGGCAGATTATGAGAAGAAACTGAAAGGGAAGGCACCAGCATGAAGCATCTCAGCGGACTTTCGAAGCTAAGGGGGATGGAATGTGAGGATCAAGCCCTCAAGGGGCCCTATCAGACATCACATTGTTCTGGGCTAAGGCCCCCAGCAAGCCAAGTGCCCGCCCTAAGTGAAGGCGGGCCTGAATATTCGTCAAAGGCAAAATTCGACATTTCCATATGTGGGTATTCAAGCTCTCGCAGCACGCCAGTTGGCAGGGAAGACGCGTGAGCCTCACATTGCTGCGTCATACAGTTGGCCCAGGCCTTGACAGTTGCACCTGGGCACACATACACAAAGCAGGGCCAATACATTGGGAAGCAGGCCTTCAGCCTCTGCAAAAGCAGTAGTGCCAACACACCTGCCTGGGAGCCCTGCACAGATGCAGCAAACAGCCCAAGTCAGGAGACTCAGGCTGTGCCTAACTGCAAAGGGCCCAGGCCCTCAACTGTAGTCTCGGGCCTGGGCGCAGGGTCTGGGACCCAACCGGAAGCTACTGGAAGCTTCCAGCCAGGCCACACGCAGCGTCCAGGGGGCTGCCACTTCCACAAAAGGAATGAGGCAGCCCAGGCCAGGCATTCTGGCCAGCGCTGGCAATGCGGAAGTGCTGCTGCGCTCTCGCTTGATGCTGCGCTGCTGCCAAGGGCGCTGAC